AATGACTAAGAAGTTTAATTATTTTTATCACCTGTGCAGAGTAATCACATACATATTATCGACACGACGTAAATTCTAATAAAGCTTGCTTCTAACCACAGAACATAACAGAGGGTGAAAGAATTTGAGTAAACTATTATTTTTCTAATTCCCTGCGTAGAATTAACACCATTATAAAATCCTTACCGACACAGGATCAAAACCAATTTTCGAGCTCTGGCAGACAAACTATCGATCCTGTGCTGCATTCCTTCAATTTTGAGGATCAGATTAGTTATTAAAACCTGTCTGTGTGGCTCTAGATAAAGGAGAAGAGGGCTCAAGACTATGTTGTGCAGCATAGCGTATTGTACAGCACGATCGATAATGTGCTGCACAGCATACAAGCCAATACTGGGCAGCAAATCAAAACTGTGCAGCACTGCACAGTATATTGTGCAGATCAAAAGGAATGAATAGATGAAAAGTGTTTAGCTGTGAAGTTCTCGTAATCGAGTAAATTAGCAATAGCCTAGAAGAGTAAAGAAATCGAATACTTTTTTGTAGAAGTCTGTAGCTGCAACATATTGTGATCTTGCGGAAATGAAACTCTGTACTGTTCTAGAATAAAACAATCCAATAATTTTGCCAAATGGCTTTAGTATTATCTGAATTTGATTCAAGTAAGAAGTAGCTATCAGCTGATTCCTTTTATTGCGCCCATTTCTGATTAAGTGCACCATTTTGTTGTACAACTGAAATTAAGTCTCTCTCCACCTTAATAATAATTTTTGAGATCTCACATTATAGCGACTTAAAGAATGAGACAACTAGAAAAAATTCTTCTGCAAATCTAAAATCGACTTGCATATAGACAAAGCAAAAGGATTTTTACACAGATTCGTAAAAACAGGTGCTACAGACACTAAACGTTTTTCTTAACTTTAACTTAAAACTTCTTTTAGTTCTTTTGTAAAGCTTAAAGTACTAAACGCCATTCTTGATTATAATACAAAAATACCTAAATTTAATACTCAAGAACTACAAAGCATTTATTATCCAAACTAATTAGCTCCTTTAATCGGTGGCTACTTCATTCAGCATTTTATCTTTAGCAGCTTACTTTCAAAATTCTCTCAAAAATTCTCAAAATTCTCTCAAAATCTGAACAGTCAACGGAAGAATAAGTCACTGAATGGTAATTAAAATAGGACCTGCCTGATTTTATAAACCTCCTATTTTTTACATAAGAAGCGTCGTTCCGGTGTCTGAATCTGTGTGAGACACTTCCTAATTGCGCGACATGTAATGAGAGTCGCGTGCACAGACTCCACACGTCATCAAGGGTCCACACCAGGGGGACTCACATCTGGTACTTCCGGCCACCTACTCACGCTCCATCCGGTTCCCGAATACAAGTCACGAACCTGACTTACAAAGCGATGTCCATGCCACTCACCGAGTGACCTCAACATAGTATCTGTCTCGAATGGAAATGACTCTCTTGATATTCAAGAGTGCCCAAGATGCATGTAACATAGCAATGAAAGCTATGCAGACTTGTGCACTATCATTTCATATAATTCTGTTCCCTTTGTGTGAAGTACGAATGTCATCATAAAAGTCATACCAGTTAACTGAGTGATCTGCATTAGCCATTTGCGTGCATTCATACGGTATTTTGGTATGAAGTATTCTGTGGTAACAGTTCTTTAGTTCTTGCTTTTTTTGCTTGCATAAGATTAATTTATTTTGTCATTCAGATTTTTATGGGTCTGTTATTAATAAATATAAAAAAATGGGAAATAAACCATAGAAAAAAAACTTATTTTGGGAGATCTTAGTTAACTTAAGGAAAATGAGCAAAAATTAATACCATACCTTTGTTGACTTCTTTCCATTTTTGCATTTCTTAGTTGCGAATTTTAGATTAGTTATGTGATTCTTAATTTGAACTTCAGGTTTATTACAGTTTCTTTTTTCTATTGTTTGAATTCTTCATTTAGTAATTGCCTTACAATTTCGTGCATTACTTTTTTTATATATTCTAACTTATGTTACAGCCTAGTTGAAGATGAGATTGTTAACACAAACACTTCATAGAATCAGGATTCAAGAAATAAATATTTTAAATCCAAACCAGCGCATAATTAAAAAGCAAAAAACATCCCGTCAGATTTCAAGCTTCAAGATTTATTCAATTCCTTCACGCACTTAATTAGTGTTGCCAGATCCAGGTCAAAGAAACATGTATCATGAAGTATTTACGCCCTCTACTGGCGATAAATAGATTTTCAAACAGCACTTTTTACGAAGATTAAGTCTTAATTTTGTTTAAAAGTTCAACTTGGAAAAATTTCGTAAAAAATATGCTGACTTTCGATGTTAAAAATTCAGTAAAGGTTGTTCAGATAACTGTGAGTAGAACTTCGGCTATCTAAAGTCCGATTAATTTAAATTCTAATTTATAATTTATTTCCAGCTCTAAATATCCGAATCACTTGTTCTTCTTTCGATACCAATTAAAATTAAGATAGCTGTTAGTTAGCTTATGCGTTTTTACTTCTTTTGATGATGTAAACAGTAACCACACATTTTCAATAAATTTAAAATCGATTTCCATTTCTTGTAGTACATGACTATTAATCGTAACCCAATAAACATACACATTTACCTCATTTATTTCAGTAAAATTTCATTATATTTCAAATAAAATGTCAATAACAATATCTTATGTTTCAATAACATTATTTGGAAAATATATAGCATGTAAGCGATAATAGATATGCGCCGATCAAGCGGAATAGTGGTTAACGACTGCCACACTTAAAAGCTCGACTTCGAATTCCGAAGACGGCATGGCTGTTTGTAAATGTATAGTGTCTATGTGTCATGGGGACACTATGTGGCATGTCACCAGTTACAGTGTCTAAGGATCTTGCCAAAGACAAGCGCATTTGACTCCTTGCCACGATGAATGTTGCTGACTTTTGTCAGACAAGTCAGGTTGGTAACAACAACAGGCAAGCAGTTCATTGAGGATTATAAGTTTTAGTTTCCTCAAGGAATCATTGCGTTTTCTTAGAAAATGCTTCTCTTCAAAAACAAAGGAAACGATCATATGTAGTGACATTCACATGCTTTTACTCTTCAGACAAGGAAATATATACTCATAAATGCATAGATTGTGTACATAAATGCATATGTTTATTTATATGCATAAATTAATATATTGTGTAACTTAAACCAGTAGCTTATTAGCTTCTGTTATATAGCGTTCTTTCCCAAATTATTTAATTATTTCTGAGGAAAGTGTTAGCATTTCTTAGTATAAAACACTTAGTTAAATGAAAAAAAATTCCCTCGGTCATTTTTGCATTTTGTTTAACAGAAGTAAATGTATTTACGATTTTTTAAATTTAAAAGTATAACCTTTCTTTTTAAAAAAAATGACAGGGTAAATGGAAAATTTAAATACTGTCTCATTCATTTTATCAAACATATACATGGAAACGGAACATAATTATCCGTATGGGTGACAATGAATCCTTACATCACTTCCTTCTGCATTTTCTTACTGTAGGGAATAACTTCAGAGTATAGTATATATGTCATAGGTAGCAATCCCTAGTAGACGTTGCAAGATTTACATTCAAATTCAGTGACAATGTTCACTGGTAAAACGAAGTCATGGTTTAAGAATCCAGAAGTAGTGAAGGTTTTTTTCCCCTGTATGCTTCTTAACAATTGTAGTTCGTAATGGAATCAAAGCAAACAGTAATTAAGAAGAATTTAAAGAAGAATTATATGCATCTATTATTAGTGTTCTTTATAGCAGGGTTCATCTGTACATTGAAAACTCAGTAACCAAGGTATCAAGATTTCCAGAAACAGGCAAATAATGTAAAATAAAATTCACGAAAAAGGTATAACATTTTATTTTATTTCTTTATGACATGAATATTCTTTAGGTACTACATAAATGTTAATCTTAACGTTTTTAATTGTCTGCCAAATACGGGTAGGGAGGGGGTTTCAGCAATTCGGGAGTCAATAATTTCTTTAGGTACTACATAAATGTTAATGTCTTTAATTGTCTGCCATTTTTCTTATTTAAATTGCATGTCTCGTAATAATTGCTAAGGTATAGTTTAAGTAATATGCTTCAAAAGCAAATATTTATTTATTTCTAAATCTTTATAAGTAAGTCATTCTTAAATGCTATTTAAAATTAAAATTATTTTTATCCCCTGTACTCTTATTTACGGTATGTCCTTCAGACACTTTTAGCCCCAAAACACTTTTATCAACAAACAAACAAACCATCTTCCGTTATCTACTGCTTTTATCCAAAAACGTGTATCTCCTTTCACTTTATAGTAATCAAAATATTAAAGAAGAAATGTATCTGTATTATTTCGGTTGTGGATATCGCTTTCAGTTACTAAGCTACTAATTAGATTTCGTTGAAAATGCTCGGTGATGTGGAAGCTTTTTATTAAAGTGTTGCTCCAATAGAAAACAGAATTTAAGGAATTGACTGTAGTTGCTTGAAAGAGTTAACTCAGATAGCTTTCTGTATATCCAGACTAAAGATTTAGTAAATTGTTGAGATATACGCAGCTTAACTGTAACTTTAATGTCGCCAGGAGCAGATCAATATATATCTCTTAATTTTAAATTAGAGGCCACAAGCTATGAAATAACAAATCTTTTGATGATTTGTGATTGAGATGATGATGAAGTTTGATTTTGATGAAGTTTGTGAATGTAAAGTTTTATTTTCGGTCAGGGCAACAAGTTGTTGGTATAGACTGGTGAGCCCATTCTTTATTAATTATTAGAATATTAATTTTGTAAGTGTTCAGTATGGATTTACAAAATTACTACCTACGTTTGTAGTAGAAAATATTAAGTGTACATTGTTCAGCTCATATGGGAAAAAAGCAGTTTTCTGAATGTTTTCATAAAACTAGTCAAATAACTGATACAAATCTAAGAAGTGAAGTACCACACAGTCATAAAGGAAACACTTTTTCATTTATTGATACATAAACAGAGTTTGTCATTGACAACAAGGAGATGGCAATTCCAAAAGGGAAAACAGAAATACGGGTAAGGGGGTTTCAGCAATTCGGGAGTCAATAAACCGCCATTTTTGTTATATCACTAGTCAATATCTCACATCCTTGGCGAAGAAATAAATTAAATTCCAGTTCCTGCTGGTGTTATCCTTTATATTTTATGTCCATAAAGCAGGCGAAAAAACAACATTTGTACACATATATTTATCTATCTTATGTCGACTATTTACAAGCTTTGGTTTATAAAAGCGCAGTTACATTGATAATGAACAAAAGTCCTATTAGGAAAAACATTTGGCTTTTTTCTTTTCCTCTGTTGAAATGAGAGTGCGTAATTTTTACGTTATTCCGTCCACGAAGAAGCAGCAACTTTTCCAGAGTTTCGTCCTTCATACATCAACTCAATGAATAGGCAAACTTTAGTGATTTTCGAAGCAAAAATTCATTCATATCACAGTCACTGATATTTAAGGAAATCATTCGTTCAAAATTAATACTTAAGTGCAAGTTTATAAGTAAATAAAATTGCTATTTTATATGCACTAAAAAGGATTTATTTAAGTTACTCTGCATTTCAATAAATTTTAAAACACACTCTCTAACATTCTTTATTCCTTAGCATTCACTTTTTTTTTTTTTTTTCAGTTTTTCCGTCTTTGCAAGTGAAAAATATTTTCACTGTTAAAAGGTAATTACTTTTCCAAAGCATTCACAATCATCAGTGAATATGATATGAGAAGGCCTTTCAAGAACCGGAACTCAGTAATATTTTCTTCGTAATAATTCTCTAACAGAAATCAGGATAAAGAGAGAACTGATCTTTCGTATTTCTCTTCTTCAAGTGCTAGAGTATGGAACTTGTTAACTGAGCCTGCAAAGTTTATCAAGCTAGTTGTAAGGTCTATTATGCAGCTGATATCAACGCATATGTGATAAATCCGTAGTCCATCCACGTAAGTGTGTAAATTATAATACATTAATGAGGAACGTTGCTCGTTTTCTTATCGGGCTTATAATCCATTGGATCACCCGAATAGCATGAAAGACAGTGTTTTACTTGATTTTTCCAGAGCAATAACACGTTCCGCATCAAAAGCATACAAAAGAGTAAAAAATGATAGAAACTTTGCAGTTTTTGATAAATATTTATTGACAAAAATTGTGATAATTATTGAAAACTAAATTGTTTAAAATAGTATCCGCAAAGATGTTTCATTTTCTAACTTACAAGTACGAAATGTGAGGAAATGATAATAAATTTAATTTTGTTTATTGCATTTATAACCTGTATATACTATTTGCTATCCAAATCTAATAAAGAGAGGTTAAAAAGATATTTTTGTCACATGGACTTCCAAAGATTTTATTAGACGATATTTCTAGGAAAGTGATTAAAATTTTATTGCTCAATATTTTTTAGTAAGGTATAAGATAAAAAAAAAATTCCTTTGCCATTTTTAACGAAGCAGATTAAGAAATGTTTCACTTTGGAAATCTAAGGTTTTTCCAAGTAAGTATTAAAAACAAAGATTTAGCCTCAGGAAATTTCTAATAGCATTTGAGGTTACGATACTTAAAGTACTCTTTGTTGTGCAGTTAAGTAGCGAATAATATAGAAATGTCTAAGCATTTATCTATATAAATTTGGTCACATTTCCTCTCAAACACCTTTTTATTTTGTTCTCTCTAATTATATGCTCTGGGTGGTCAAGAATTCACTGCCTGGAGTGCTAACATGATTTTGTATCAGATCAATGCGACATCATGTCGTGTCTGAGAAGTCCCACTTGATTTTTAATTATAATACATTAGGAGATCACACGGCCTTGACTGGGACCGCTGTTGATGACACTGTTAGCGGTACTGCTGGCCATGGCCGCAATGGCGGCAGCCGAACCACTTGATGATGATGACCGCGATACTGATCCAGGATGTTGCTGCTGTTGGTCACTACCTGTAAGAAGAGGTCCTCCACTCATCTTCGTGGCTAAATTGAACACGGAGGGTGGGGGCGAGGACCCTGCCGCAGCAGCTGCCGCCACAACCGCTTTGTGTAAAGACAGTTCCCCTGCAGTAGCAGCGGTGGGAAAGGCGGCCGCAGCTGTCCTTAGCCTGTTGAGCGATGACACCGCCGACGATTCGGCAAGAGACGGAGTAGCCCCCGTAGGGGCCCCGCCAATAGGTGGGCAAGAGTACACTGCAGAAAGAGGGAACGTGCCCCCAACGCTGGTCACTACACTGAGATTGCCGAGCGTGCCGGCGTACCACGAAGCTGGTTTAGGATAGGGGCTGAGGTAGGCCGCCCTCTGCAAGGGACTTAGTCTCGAGGAAGCACCGGGAGGAAGGTTGGAGGAACTGGGCCCTTGCGTCGAAGTTGCTGTGTCCACTATCGACCATATTCGAGGCTTCTGTTGTTGGCTCTGAGGAGGCAGTTCTGTAGGCGCGGGGTGGGGCATCGAGGAATTTTGCGAGGATTCTTCAGAATCCTCAGACCCTAAAGAGGCGTCCGAAATAGGGCTAGGAACCCGGTGGGGTTTGAGAAGAGAACAGTTTTCCTTGTCCGAACTATTGGTAATAACATGGCCATCGGTACTAGTAGATGCACAAGATTTACAGTCGTCGTCCACATCCACAAAGTCCATCTTTCCATCATCAGATCCTTAAAAAGAAAACAAAATATTTGAAGCTTATTCATAAGCAACTTAAAAAAGTATTTTAGAAACAGTTATTCTGCATATAGTTATGATCCTTTTCCACAGATTCACAACCCTTTGCAACAAATGTATGTAAATATTACCTACATAATTTTATAATTATGATTAATATTTACTTAAAAATAAAGTTTTCCAATTTGAGCTCAGGAAACAAAACAGCTATAGTTATTGTAGGATTTTTGAAGCAAATAAAAAAGTTTTTAGAGTAATTAAAAAAATATTAATACAAATACCTACTATAAGCACTTAGAAAAGCATATTCCTGAAATTGTGTAGAACATTTTAAATTAATATAGCTTACTGCAAATTTTTATATTCATTAGTCAGGTTTTAGTTTTACATATTATATTTTGCGTTAAGGAAAACACAGTTTTTTTTTTTTTTTTTTTTTTTTCCTTCCAAATATACTTTATAAGAGGGAAAAAAAGCTTATGGTCAATTTCATCAAAAAAAAAAAAAAAAAAAAAAAAAATTAAATGAGCATTAGTTTTTAGTAATTTCAATCACTGAAGATTTGAAACCATGGTAATGATAATGTAAATAAGGAAAGCAGTATATGATAAACGAATTTACTACTGATGAAGGTAAGAGTGGTGAATTAAGAGAAATATTAAATACGCAGAAACAATCAAAAAAAATTTTGCTAATTGTTAATAAATTGTCTAATTACAGTCATTTGGAATAAATGTGTTAATAATACGAAATAAAAATAATCAACCAATTAAAATCTTCTTTTATACAAAATATTTTCTTTCTGACGAATAAGACAAAATTGAAAGGATTAATTATAACAGATATCCTGAGTAGAAAACAAATATAAATTAATAATAACTGTATATTTCTGACAATTATTCTTAAGTTTTACTTATTGTTAGATTTGAATTGAACTCTGTCCTATCCTTCATGGCTCATGTCACAATATTTGCTCAAGGCAGAGGCATGTGCCACAGTTTAAAAGAAGAAGGTTAATTATAACTGTAAGACTACTGGAGCTTACGCTACAATATCATTGCGTCTTAGAGTACTAAGTTGGTGAACAACTAAAGTTAATTTATTGTTGAACCATGGTAAATATTTTATGAATTTAAAGATGACTACCAGCTGTTTAATTTTGAATTTAGAATACCGTTATAAATTATTTGAATCTTAGCTACCAAGGCAAGTATCCTAATCTTTTACTATGGTATTTACGGTATGTCAACAGTTTTAGTTTACGTTATCATTTTAGTTGTAATCCAATAGCATAAGATAAATAAACATTTATTTACTTTAATTGGGCTTGTTTTTGCGTTAAATAGTTGCTATAGGTATTTAAATCCAGTTAAATAGTTGTTAAAGGTAGTTGTTACAGTTAAATAGCTATAAAAAAGATAACTCGTCAGTAAGTCAAGATAAATCTACGGTGATCAAGTTAAGATAACGCTGTCGAAAATTTTAAATTCAGTTTAAGTTCATTTCACCAGCGAAATTAAAAACTGATACTTGAAGACAATAACCTAAATGCAAAATAAGACTGAAGTAAAATATTTTTTAAAACGTTTGAACGATATAAATTCCTACAGTCTAAAAATAATGAGAAGATAAAATAATGATAAATAATGAAGATAAAATAATGATCTAAAAATAATGATAAATATTAAGTCTAAATATGAAAAGTTTCTTTATGTTTCAAATTAAACATAAACTGGCCTTTTAATGCAGTCTTCTCATTCATCAGACTGAAGAATCATATTTATTTTATGAAGTAGTAAAACGTGTTAGTATTAAAGTAATTATTATTATTTTTTTAGTTTATGAACTGCTGCCATTATAGTACATTATGTCTTTGCTGAAATCTGCCTTTGATGTATTTAGTTATTGTGGAATTCATGCTACATTTTAAAACTACTATGGTAGGAGTATCGAGAAAGCGATATCAGAAATAAAGAATATATATATGTGACAATTAGCCAGAAATTAATTAATTTCCATTCACTAGTATATTCAAAATTTTAACAGACGGTTTCACTCACAAAATTGTAACAGACGGTTTCATTCACATAAGAACTACACAGCATACGTTCTTCAAGCATTCCTAGTCACTCCCTCTCCTAGAAATTGCTTCACACAAGTTTCGCCGACTGAAATAATTCAAAGCCCCCGCTGCCGATAAGGAATTTCGGACACACAACCTTTTTGAGTAAACGCGAAGAGAACACTTTGCCCAGTTCCCACTAGAAAGAACGTAAGTTAATTAATGCTTTTCTGGCCTTTTATATCTTCATGTACATTCTCTTTCTTATTATCTATATTTTAAATTAAAATTTTTATTTTTGTTTTGTTTTTGCAAAGATTGCATTATATTTCGTAATTTCTAATGCTTATTTCATTACTTTGAGTTCTATTTCATAATGCCAATTTCCAATGTTAATTTTTTCAACGTTTTAAATTAAAAAACAAACACGAAGGTGTCGGGGACAATCACTCAAGTAATTAATCAATTTTACTGCATAAATTGCTTTTCACTCAAAATTAAATTAGCGAAATGCTTAATCAGAATGAGTTCCTTGGTGCTCTGTATTGGTTTCTTGATTCCTTCATTCACCGAAATTTTGGCCTAACTTAAATTGCCAGTTTGGCATCGCCTATTACTTGAGTAAAGGACGAAACACCTTCGTATTTATTTCTTATTATTGTTCATTGAACGGGAGTTGGTTTGTCCCCTTGAAAGTCAACTATTCCAATCAGTGGCAGTTGATTATTGCATTTAATTAATTACTTGCTTTTAATTTTATTTCTTTTAAAATTTAAATTTTGTTATTCATGTTTAATTCAAGTTCCCGTTACGCATTTTTAGCAATTTACATTCAAGTTACTTTAAAACAGTTTTCGAAATTGAACTTACTAACTATGGATTCACTCTTTTAAGATAATTTTACTAAAATTAATCTTAGGAGATAATATAATCAATATTTCTTTTGTAAATATATATATTAAAGTATCTGGACATTAAAGTTCAAATGTATAATAGGCTAATCTTAAATGAGTAATGATTTATTTTATAAATCGCTACTGAACCTATATCATCCTCACGGCACGTTTACTTTTTAACGATCTCCTGCTACCGTTAGGAGTGACGTTACATTTCGTCACGCTCTTGCGAGTCACTCTATCGAGTTAACTCGCTCCGACAGCCCGGAGAATTATGAGGAACCTGCGTCAACGCTACCAGAAAGCAAGAGCAGACACTTTATAACTACAGTGTATGTGGTTTGCAGAGAAAGAGGGAAGCTGCCTCCACTTAAGCCCTCGTTTGATTCCAGGCCTTCGTGAATCCGCGTGGTCACGCTCTGTGGTCACCCATCTGCTGGACGAGGGTTTTGATCTCATTCGATATGGGGGGGAGGAGGCTTGCAGTGTGAGACCAGCCGTGTAATAGTCATTTGTGGTTTGATCCAATTGTCGAAGTGACTATCTCAAATAAAACAATTCCGTTGATTTGACGCCATTCTTAAACTTACTACTATAACATGAAAGCACTGAAATCAGCCAATGTTGCATCATTTTCAAAATTATGCACTTTCGCAATTTGTTAAAATTGTTTTATTTGCCGATCTGTGTTAAGTTGTAATATTAGTTAATGGATGCAAAATAAATGAGCTATTAATGAAACTTGGTAAATTATAAAATTTGCGTGATCACCTCTTTCTTAATTGCTACACAAAATTCACCTATTTTTAGCTTATTCCAGGTAGTTTCAGATCATACATTAAGTCAAGTCAATTTCTTTTCAAAATTATTAACACAAAACAAAATAATTTAAAAGGAAAAAGTAAAGCTTTATGATTTATTATGATCATCCACAAATACGCTGTAGTTTTCAAACTCTTCAAGCAATCTTCAATTAATAAATTACTATAATTTGAAATAAAAAACTAAGATTTAACTAGTTAAAACTAATAATAAGTTTATCGAAAATGACAGTCACAGTGTCAACATAGTTTTCTTATTAATAATAAAAACAAAAAAAAAGAGAAACTCATTTTAATGTAAATAAAATAATGCCAAAATATTCCAAAGTGTATTACAAAATTCATCATGCTATCACAAAAAATTTTTAACGAAACAGTTTCTCAATTCAGCATATGTAATATTCAGCAGACCAACAATAAATTGTTCGCAGATTAATAACAATAAAGTGTTAGACAAGTCAGTAACCATATCGCAATAATTTGCCAAAAGAAGGAAAGAACAGTACAAAGAGAATCGCAAACTAGATAAACAATAGTCTTTAACATAATCTTCATCTGTCATGTCAAACATAAAGAATAGTTTATTATAATAATAAAGCGGAAAAGGTTCCGCTAATGCAAAATAATGTTATGGTTATTAAATTGTGGCAAAGCTCCCGAGGGCTTATCTCGCCTAAGGGGAGGGTTGCCTCCTTGAAAGACTTTCTGTGGTTAACTGGATCGTACGCACTCTACGCATGAAGAAAGTTATGAAAATCAAACATGCTCTCACTTGGGGTCGAATCCCAGGACGAACTATCAGCATTCAGCGGTTTTAGCCACTCGGCCACAGAGGGAGTCATGTAAAACAAAGAGTGAATTAAGAAGAAGCTCAGTTTGCGATAGTCTAGAAGTTTAAAATGTCTAACTTTAAATAAAGCCATAGAAATGTTTCGACAACTTTGAAGTTCCATATTAATTACAAGAAATTAAATACTATAATGCATCTCATTAGCTTTCAAAGAATGTCGTACACAAAAAGGCAAGTATTAAAAAAATATTTTAGAATAAGAGCTATCATAGAATAAGTTGAGTAAGAAGACATTTAGGAAGACCTGTAATAAATAGAATAGGTAAAACAACAGTTATTCAAGCTAAAATTGGAAAAAAGACAACTAGCAAGATATATTATTATAGAATAAGATGAGCAAAAAGAAAATTTAGGGGGAAAAAAA